TGCTGTAAGTTTATGAAGCCAAAAGAGGGCTACTACGAGGCTATGAGCATATTACGTCAAAGGTTTGGAAGACCTTCGATGATTGCAGGGAAATTATTCGAGGCTGTTAAGGGTAATGGTGGTCAATTACAGGATGACTCCCAGGCACTCACTGAGTTTTTAGATAATTTGCTAATTTACAAGAATGGAATGATTTCGATGAATCGCATGAGTGACCTCAACTCGAGTTTTATACTAGAAGTAATAGCAAGACGTCTACCTACTCGACTGCAAAGGAAGTGGGTGAAGATGAGCTCCCGTATGGAGGATGAGGGTATCGAGCCAAAGTTTGATGATATCCTGAAACTGGTAAATACTAGTGTCAATCAATCTATGAGCAAGTTCGCCAGTCTATTACATCTCACCCCTAGAATAGAGCAGTCTGAGATCAAAATGCAATCATTGATGACGAGTAGGCCTCAGAGAGGTGGATATCGAGAAGGCTCCATGATGTCTAGTAATGCATATAGACCTAGTGAGTGTAACAGGTTTCGTAGTACATCCTCAACAGATAAGTTACAAGATGCAAGACAAACACGGTTTTGTTTTACACGTGTGCAAGAGGTGCATACAGAAGTGAACTGTGAACCAGTGAGCAAGTTCAGTGATAAGCTAAATGTAAACTCCAGGTCTGACTCCGAATTGTGTGACGATAACGGTGTTGTGAAGAAGTCTGTAGTTGCAACTGGTAAGCCGTTGTTGAATAGAGTGTCACAGAATAGAGTTACTGCTTCAGAGTGGAGTTCTGACTCCAAAAGTTTACAAAGTATAACTAGTCAGAGTGAAGATATAAAACCTTTAATGATTTGTGAGGAGGAACCAAAATTGTCTACTTCTGTTATTAAAGAGTTTGAAAATGATGAACTTGACGGTAAATTGAATATTTGTGGTAATGATCATGATAGTGCAGATTTGTCTTTGGTTGATCATGATGAAATGGAGGGAATGCCTACTACCGCTAAGTTAAATAAAGGTTCTGTAGAACTTGAACGTGAAGTAGAAATAAATGCAGGTGCAGTTGCAGAAGGCATGCGTACTTGTGAGACCGTCAGTGTGATTGATCAGCATGTAGCCCACCTATCATCAGATGCTAGTGCTAAACCTGAGCTGATAGTAAAAGACAGCAGTGGTGGTGGTCTTGCAGGTAGACAAACTTCTGAAAGCCGAGCAACAACAGCTTTTGATCCACCGCTAACTTCATCAACTGATATCAATCAGTCGTCGTTGGTGCTGTCATCCACAATGAAAAAGACGCCCATCAACTCAAGTATCTTGTGCAATGACTATGCTAGTATCAGTTCGTTTGAAAGGACGAATATCAATGGTCAGTTTAGTGAGAATAAGCCAAGTGTAAACGAGAGAGTAATTGTTAAATTGACTTGCATGAATAAAGGCATTTCTAGTTTCAAGTTACTATTTGAATGCTATTATCTTTGGTGTAAATTACTCTGTTTTTACACTTGGTTGATGAGATATGTCGTGTGTTTGTTCGTCATCTATATTCTACGATACAATGACATGGGCGTGTTGCCGTTCAGATTTGAGGATATAGCTCATAGAAGGAAGTTAGCAAATGAACTCTGCGACGATTTTCCAACCTAGAGCGTCAACCTGAGAAGGGTTGTAGGCGTACTGCTGTAAGTCCTACAATTCTTCAAAGGGTAGCGCATCAATGAGCAGTCCAATGTGCTTGGTGTATGATCTTGTACATATGTTCATATTGTATATACTGAATTGATATCATCTGTCATCTAGCTGTTGGTAATTCTGATTGTGTCCGGACGACTTCCACTTGTATCATCAACCTGAGAAGGAATGTAGGCGTACTGCTGTAAGTCCTACAGTTCTTCAAGGGTAGTTTGTCATGCCGGAATCCACAACATTTGATGTAGTGATTGTACATATGTTTGTGTTAAATAATTGTGTGAGTTCCAATTGATGTAATTGTTGGTTAATCTTGTTTGTGTCCGGACATTCCACAGATTACAATCGTCAACGTGAGAAGGGTTGTAGGCGTACTGGTGTAAGTCCTGCGATTCTTCAAAGGAATTCCACCAAGACATGATCGGCGAGGTTGTTTGTACTATTTGTATATACGTGTGGTGTGTCATAGCAATTGGTGTATTTTGGATTCATTGTGTTTACTTGTTGTTTTCGTGTCTTGTTGTTATTGCGTAATTTTGTTAAAATTTTCGTCGTGATTATTTCTGAAGTTGTTTCGAGTCTTCTACATCCATGAATGAATTGATTGATGTTAAGGACAGCAGATGGGTCGTATACGCCGGGGAGGCTAGGCTATTGCTGAGAATGAAATGCACACGGAGATAATTGTTAGCTGCGGTCCGACACGCCGGGGAGAAAGAGTGTAAACGACTGAGGCTCGCATGCGTCACCGTTACTAGAACTGAGGCAGAATGAGTGACAAGCGATTTCAGTGGTAATTGGTAATGAGTAGATAAGAGGATGTGCGTAGAGTATCATGAGGTGGTGCTATGTTCACCTTGCATTGCAAAAGTCATTTTAGCAAATGGCGATTGTGTTGCAAAATGTCAAGAGGAGGGCCCCTGTCTGAAGCGCAGGTCGTCAGCGATGTGTGAGATTGTGCTGTGGGTATGCTTGTGGTGTGTTGGCTTTTCTGTTTGTTTTCCATTTCAGCTCTGTCCGTGTGATCCAGGTTCTCGCAATGGCATCCAAGTCGACGTGCATTGGTCGTGAAGGAAAAAAGGGTTGGATCCCTTTTTTGTCGGGGAGTGTCAATGGAGTTGAAGATTGAACGATCAATTCTTGGTTGTTTGCTTAAAATCAACTTCCCCAATTTTCGCGGAGGCATCAATACGACAGTCATCGTCTCATCGGTTGCTGTTCAGAAAGAAGAGTGAAACATCGTCAGAAGTAATCTTATGATTTATTATTGTAATATTTGTTTTCAGACCTTAGTTCGCTTATTCCTTTTATATGTTGGTGTAACAATAAACAAATAACAAGCGGCAGATCGGTGTTTTGTTTTTTTCGTCCGTTATAACTAAGCGTTTCTGAAAACTCAAAGGAACAGCGTGGGCCCGAGCGTAGCGAGAGCTGGGCATAAACGATTTATGAGACGTGATTGACATATGGTGTCTTTCCGGTCACGCGGAAACACTCCATTTAGGAGAGATACCTTGAAGATCGTGGTCAAAGGGCCGTCTATGTCAGCTGGTAGCTCCTTGAGAAGCCTTGGATAAAGATTTTCGGGACCCATTCATTTCTCTGCATCTAGTTTCATTAGGCATGTGAGGACGATACCTCGGTCGATGTCAACGGAATCCATCCCGTATTCGTTTGCTGCAGCCAGAGCTGAGTCTACGGGGACTGATGACCCCTGAGTGGAGACTTGGGAGAGGTAGTCTACCATAGCTTCTGCTATTTCTTGGTCTTCTTCGATTGTGTCATTGTCAGTAGTCAGTTTCGGGACACCATTCGATGTTTTACTCCTGAAGTTCATGCACGAGAAAACTTTCTCAGGTTGTACCTATGCATTTTGAGCCAGATGTGCTTCGAAACTCTTCACTGATTGGCGGAGAGAGCTGAAGGGCAACAGTGATACGTCCACGTTGCAAGAGGACCTCAACAAATTGTCAGAGTGGTCCATAGGATGGATGCTCCGGATAAATGTGGCAAAATGTGCAACCATGCGCATTGGATAAGCAAGCACGAGCTCCTACCAACTAGAGGGAATAACACTTCCATCAGCTCAGACTCACCTGGACTTAGGTGTCATAGTTAGCCACGACTTAAAAACTACAGCACACTGTCGCGTGGTGGCTGCACGTAGTTTCAGGTCCTTATGGGCGATTCGCAGAGCCTTTACTAGTATCACCAGAGATATGTTCACCTACTTATATACATCTTTGGTGGGGTAAGACTGGAAAACTGCATCCAGGCCGCCATTCCTTGTCTAAAAGGGGACTGACACATTCTAGAAAGGGTTCAAAGGAAGGCAAAACGTATGGTTCACGGCATGGCTAACTTATCATACCAGGAAAGACTAGACAGTTTAAATATCTTCTCCCTGTCATAACGTAGGCAGAGAGGAGAATTAACCACAATGTTTAAAATTTTAAATAATGACTACAGACCTGACCTATTCTCTCTTTTCCTTCCCACCAGGTTGGAACACCTTAGAGAACATACCAGAAGAGTTCAAAAGCCCAAAAGAAATCATACTGCTCTTGAGTACTGGTTCTCACACCGAGTCATAAACTTTTGGAACCGACTCCCAGAAAAAGTGGTGTCTGCAACCTCAACTGATTTATGAAAGAAGGGTTTGGGAAATTACAGAAATTTACTAGAAAAGGATTAACATAAGCTCCAAGCCTTCTATCTGAATCTGAATCATAAGCAAGCGATTGGACCCACATACACGATTGGGAACTCCTTGTGCTACTGGTGTTTGAGTGAACATCGTCAAGCATTTATGTGCGCAGAATGTCAGGTCGCTAGTCGAGGCTCAATTCTCCGGGTTGGTCAGCTCTTACTTCAACCTGAACGAGCATTCCTCACTTTTCATGATCTTCACAACTCTACATCATCAACGCAGCGAAATGCTAGAGAGCATAAGTTATTCGGCAGACAATTCGTGAACCAAGAGTAGTTACTCCCGAACCGGATTCTTCGAATACAGTTTATACAGTTCAACTTCGCGCAAAATCACAGGTAGACCTCAATCCAGAACTGTTCTCCAACATCGAGAGATGGGTGTCAGTTAATTGACAATTCCACACTAGCTGGTCACAAAGTTACATTCACTTGTAGACATTTGGAATCTATGAAGTGTGCTGATATCCTTGAAGACCGAACTAGTAGTGCATCAAGAAGTGCACTTGTGAAATACAAAGAATTTATTCACATAGGTACTGAAGATTGAAAAATAGTTACACCGGTATAATCAATTGCCTTCAAGGGCGGTAGTTTGAATATTCGAGATGGCTTGTACGAAGACTAAACGTCGTGCTCGTAATCGCACTCAGCGATTCACTTCCAATGTTTTCTCTATGTTCAATGAAGCTCAAATCAGCGAATTCAAGGTAAGCTTACGCTCTTAAACATTGGCAGTTTATATACTAGTGTACTGTATACAATACTTTGTGTCTCAAGAATAGTTGATATCGTTTTAATTGCAATTAGAGAAGAAATTGCAGTACCCTCAAGTAAAATTGCATCAAATGTCCTCTCATCTTCCACCGAATTGACGGCTTATATGACTTCACCCACAGTTTTACTATTGCAACCTCATGCGGTTGCTTAAAAGGGGTAAGAAAACGATTACTCCAGAATACATCATAATGAGGTTATTTCAGACTATTTGAAGAGTGATATATCTCGTTTTTATTGCTTTGTTTGTTTCTGATATGGCGCCATCTTAATACATTAATTTTCATTTGGAATTGGATGATAAAGAATATTAGATTACCGTATCTTCTTCCGGTCTGTCTACAGTCTTAACGATTTCTTCGATTTGGCTTGTGAAACTCACTCAACATGTGACCACATTAATAGAATATGTTGTTGGGAGAAAGTTCTAAGAGAAGTTGAGAACTAATATTCTAAACTATCGGTTAGTGAGGCATGTGTACCTTGTATCGCACGACAACTCCCAACGTGTTTCAAGGTTACCTCGCTCCATGGTGTACTTTTAATTTGTATGATGACCCGGTTTTCAGCATAATTTCATCCATTTGAAAACGGTGCTTTGAAGCGAGTGGATCTTTGCATGTTGGTCACGTACGAGTTGTTGGTATCCTAAAATGTTTGAAACAGTTGTACTCTATGATAGATGGGTTGGTTATTGTTCAAGTTTTAACCCTAAAATTAATTTAAACTCACTAGATTCTGCGGTCATTTTTCACCGTGACGATTTCAATCGACGGGTGATTCGTACCTGGGAGGAATTTATTGCTAGCTAGTGTCATCTGTGAAGAACGGAGTTTCCCACACCTGAAGATGCTTTCGTGGTACACACTGGTATGCAATAGGCAGTACGCTAATGACAGTATGTCGACACTTTCACTTTTGACAGTGTCCCTCCTGAGACTTCCCAATTCGGTAGACATGTCTTCAATTATTCGGTTGACGTAGCAGACAGTTTATCTAACTTATCACTTATTGTTACCTGTAGTTTGAGTTAAAATGAACTCAGAAAGAAAGGCGTCATAGTTTTTATTTTACTTCGTATATACTCGCCAACAAGCGAAATAGGATCCTCTGTGAATATTCAATTTTCTCGCGACAAAGCTGCTGATATGAAACTAAAGGGTATGGCTGCACACACAGCTTGGAGAGTTTGCTCTTTCTTTCCTGTCGCACATTCAACCACTGTTATTGTTATTTTAAGTCCTTCTTTCTCTGTATTTTGTTTGGTGAAATGTAGCAGCATAGTGTTATCCCATTGCATTTTCGTCTGTTTTGTTAGTGTTCATTTCTTTGCTATTTTCCTCAGTGAGACCGCCACGTACAATGCACTTAGTTAACGAGATAAACGCTTTTCTCGTGTGACAAATCCCTATATGACCTGCATTATAACGAAGAAATCATTGTGGGTAGAGTCAAGTTTACTTTTTGTGTGCATGTATACTGGGATGTGAGAGGCAGTAAGTATTTGGATGAAATTCGTTTCCCGGTCTGGGATTAATGGAATCACTAAAAACTGCTTTGAACCTGTGGCTAGTATGTTCCACCTATTATTCCTATAGTAGCTCATAACTCAATCTGTAATTCCACGAGTTAGTGCTACTCCGTATCCGTAGAGCATGACAAGCCATACAAAATTTGACTGTTACCGATGATTCACATGTAAAACCTCACCTACAAAGCTTCTAGTCATTATTCCAATGCGCTGTGCTCCTTTTTTGTTTCGGCGTTTTTATCTTATCCGTATACCGTGTTGGAATTAGTCATATATTCATTGTGTCCTATGTTAAAGCATTGATACACACTTCGTTACCTAGAACCAGTATGGTGAAGCCAAATTTTTTTTATAGAGACATTGACAACTGAGAAATTAGTTTCAGTGGCACATGTGTTGCACAAGTTTTTGTATATCTCGTTATTTTCTATACAGTTGCCTGTGGATCTTCATTTAGTGTATTGTAAAGTATTTCACTAAAGTGTAGTCTTTTCTTTTTGTTAAGTACAACAATAGATGATAAATGATGTGAGACAGGATCCATAACGATAAATGTTCGACTTGTTAGCTACGGTCTGATTGACTGTAACGACTGACTTTCAGTCAGTGGATCTTGAGTTTGAATCCTAGTCCAGCTACTTCAGACTGTGTGATTGGATAGCATCATCATCAGCCTTCGTACATGGGGTTGGCTCATACAAATTCTGGTGTTAAGTGAGTTCTAACAAGACGGCAGTTTCCAACATCAAAACGGCCATTGTCCAATTCACTGTGCTTTCTAAATCATGAACTTGCACACTGTCGTCAACTTACATCTCCTGGTTGATTAAGTGATTTATTCTGAAACGCATTGTTCTTATGTTAAGTTTACTGTAGAGAGTGGGTTACAATTCTAACCACCTGTGTTTAAGATGTTTTATTATATTGTGAATACTATTATCATTATTAATTAGTAAACCTGTCTAAGTCTGTCAGTATTATTTTAGGATAATGAGTCTATCTTTTGTGTTTACTTGATGAAAACAGGAAGCATTCCTAATGATTGATTCCACCAAAGATGGCGTGATTGACAAGCATGACCTGGAGGATATTTTCATTTCATTGGGGAAATCACCAGACGATGATTATTTGAATGACATGCTTTCTCAGGCACCTGGTCAGATTAACTTCACAATGTTCTTAACATTATTTGGTGAAAAGATGATGGGATGTGATCCGGAGCAGACGATATTGAACGCATTTGCTTGTTTCGATCCTGAAGGGACAGGTGAGTGTTTGTGTGATTACCAGTTAGTTAATTACAAAAGTTTTTGTGTCATCGTGGTTAAAGATTTTGCGACTCATGATTCTACTTGGCTGTGTTAAATTTGTTAGGTAGAACTAAGACTTCTACCTGAAAGTGTCCGATTTGCTGCTGAACGCGAAACGTTCAGATCCATTTGTTTTAGCAGCTGACTTCAGTGTCCAAGTAGGGAAGTTTTGCCGGACTGATAAGTATATAGGTGGTACGTATGGAGTTCCCTGCCGGCGAACCGACAAGGGTCGTCGTATTCTAAAGTTCTTTTCAGATAATCAGCTGTTATTAGTCAGCACCAACTTCAGGGACAAAGAGAGACATTGTGTAACCTGGCTACCTCCATCACCAAATCAACGCTGTACGCAGATAGACCACATAGCGATGGGGTATCGATGGCGAGAGTCAGTAGAAGACTGCCTCTCCTTTTGGAACACGTGCGTAGACTCTGATCACGCTCTGGTTGGCGCACGTTTGTGCTTACGATTAAACGCACATAAGAAATTGTCGGCAGCGAAGCAGGTACGTCCCCAACTAGATGGAGACTCCGAGTCCCCATTTAAGGGGGAGATAGCGAAACGTGTATTTGAGGTCGACAACAGTACTTCTTTTAAGGTAACCTGGCACAACATACAGTTAGCTGTAGACACAGTTATAAAAGCTGTTAATAACCTAAAACTAAAAGTTAGTAAGAACCATTGGATCTCTACCACCGCATCCGAACTGACTGACGCAAGGAGACAGATTCCAGCGAGCTCCGATTATGATGAGAAACGAAAGCTACTCAAACGCGGTTAGTTTAAGCCACGTAGGAAGGTGTAGACTTCCTAGTTGGGTTCCTCGGGACGGTAAAAACCACCGATGGCTGGAGACAGTCGGTGATATGGTTCAAAATCTTTCTCAATGGTGTAGATGCATCCACTCCTTGTGACTTATAATTTCCAATGAAACTTTATTGTTCTTCGTTATTACTATTCCTTTTGTCTCATATCCCTGTTTACTGTCTCTGTTTTGGATTTCTTCTATTTTCTTCTCTTGCTTTGTGTGCTACATAGAGTGTGGCGACTTGAACTGCTGCACATCGGTGCAAATTTCTGTCGAAAATAGACAGACAGTTAGAACGATGTGCGGACTAATGGTGATCAGGTGTGTCTAGATCAGTTAGTCAACGATCCTGAGTCTCCAAGTGGTCATTATCATATCGTGATGGATAGTTGTTATAACAAGCGCTGGTCAGTTGTCTACATAATATTCATCCTAGGTCCAGCCAGACCCCAGTACTTAACTGTGGTGAAGTTAGAATCTGTTTTGGTTGTGTGAGAGCCCTCAAAGAAAAATAATGCCAGCTGGTGGGCGGGGGGAGGTAGGTTGAGTTGAGTGTAACCATTGAAATGATTCCCGTGTTGTTGTCCTACTCAACATCTGTCAAAGTGAATTGGTTTCTTTTACATTCGAACACCCGTCAGCCATGAGTTACATCTGTTGCATTGAGTTAGTCATATTATGTGGTTTTCTAAACGTTAATGTGTGACTTTGTTCAAGTTTGTGGTGAAGTTAGTAGTGTAGAGTCAAGTGACTAAACGAGTCATTGTGCCACCACCTAATACTGTGAATTCAACAAACATTCTCGCTTATATCATCAAAATATTCACACATGTACATTGAGATCTGTGAGTGTCATTGTAGTTTGTGTGCTGACAACTTCCAATCACTTGAGTCGAATGATTTCAACTCAGCACATCTTACTGAGTTGAGTGAGTAAGCGTCAGACACACACACACACACACTTTCATCAAATGATGAACCTGTCTGTTTATTTTCTTCTTTTAGGCGTAATAAGTGAGAATCGTTTACGTGAATTAATGACAACAATGGGTGATCGATGGTCGAATGAAAAAGTTGATGAATTATTTCACGGTGCACCTATACATGATGGAAATTTTGACTATAAAGAATTTACACGAATGATAATGCATGGCAAAGAAGAAGAGGAAGAAGAAGAAGGAGGAGGAGGTAAAGGTAATGAATCCTGAACAGCGATAACAACCCCCCAACATTCCACTAATATAATCAGAAAATTGTTTTCCACTTTTTTTTGCTTCTAAAATGAAAGAAAACTTATTATATGACAACATTTCCAATGTTATTTTGATATTATTCATTCTTTGGAACAGCACATACCTTCATTGCACTAGGTTGTTATTTGCCAAGACTTTTCACACTGGCTGCATGAATGTCTGCTGACTTTCGTTTCCAACAGTGATTTGATCCCCTCCTCCTCCTCGTGCATATTTCACCTTCGGTCGTCCAACTCTTTCTTGGCCTCCCATTCGGGTTGCATTTTAGGGCTTGACTTGTGGTATCAGCATAGGTCCAGTCCATATCCACATCGTATTTGTTGTTGGGTAACAGTCTCTTTCCTGCCAGAGGTCGTTGTCCTTGCCTGGAAACGGTGATGGAAGTCTGTAAGTAGGCATTTCGAGATGTTTTTTGTGACACGCCCTCGAAGTTTCTGAAGCGCGTTGAAGGATTACTATATATATATGTATATATATTGTTTCCACACTGTATTTCTGGTACAAGTATGGAATTTTCAACATGGATATCGGTAGCAGGCCGACCATAGATATCAGGTGTGCGTCGGCAGGGGATCCAACCTCAGACCATGCGCATGGTCGGCGAGAGTCCTAACCACTGTGCCACCGACGCACTACTACTACTGAATTGCCATTGGTGTAAGGAATTCGGATTACGTTCCTTGCTTGTGGTGAATGAATGGTGGTGTGTATTCTGTGACACCGACTTGAGAGTGAGTAACTACATTACAAGGGGGAATTATAATTGGATGTGTAAGAGGTAGAGATTTACGGTTGATGTTTCGAGAATCTGATTTATCAAAGACGCGTAGTCTCAGGAATAATAGTCTTTGTTGCTGTCGTCGACTAATAATTGGTGAATTCAGACTATTCTACGTATACTGCTTTGTTCACCTAATGGTGTTTGAAGCGAGATAGTGAGAGAGAGCAGTTGAATAGTACTTTTGTTCTGAGACTTGAGAATTAGTTGAGATGCACTATTGAGTTTCTGAGGTGGTAGAATGCATGAACTGGAATATAACAGATAAATCTAGCTGCTGCTGGTGATCAGTTTTAAAGAAGAGGAAATCTATCATACGATGCTACTTGAATCTAACTTGAGTAAGCTTCAGAGGTTTCTCCTCTTGCAATGAATTCGGTGGCATCTAACAGAAATACGTCAATCCAGAGTGATTGGCTTGACTTTATGTAGAGCTTAATCGGTTTTAAGAATGTACGGTCGATAATAACAGGAGGAATGTAGGGTATACGTCACACAGTGTTGATAATCTAGTTGTATTGCTTGGAGGAATGTTCTTAGTGTGACTTGTGTTAGAACTAAGCGATTTTGTTTTTGTATATTATGGCATAAAATGAAATCGTGGTGTACTATGATCTGATTGCTACTCATCATATGAATCTGAATCGCTTTCTTCTATTTCTCTCTCTCTCTCGGTATTTTAATTATTCACATCTGTTAGGTATGTAAATCAGCACACAGACACACACATACAAAATAATCAATATTTTTATGTGTTGAAGTGTATATTTGGTATTGATTAAGTCACATCTACCTAATAAATGAACTTAAAGTGTGCATATGTGCGAAATTGTCTTATTTAGAAGCGAAAATATGTTGAATGAATTAGTCCTTGTCATGGTGTTTTGTTCTGGTGTGTGTGTATATTTGTGTAGCTTATTATTATTACGTTGTGTAGCTAATGTGCGCAACAGTTATGCCTAGGCTAGCAGTTCGTTCAGCTGTTAAAACAATTAGAAGGGTAGATAATCTATCTGAGTTTAAGTAAACACATACGATGTATTTATTATGAGAGGTGGATTTGAAACGATAGGTGTTTGGTTGGTTGGTGTCTTAGGGCATTCGACAGACGTGCCTTTACTCTAGGATAGAACGCGACTGTTGGATTCCGCTGTTATCCATCATCTTCAACTGGATGAGAGGGAATATTCATTTTATGTATGTGAATAGAATATGAAGGGAAGTGGAAAAGGAATCCAACAAATACCACCTTTCTCATGATTCGTAGTTTTGAAGCTTTGTAATCTAAAGATTGGCAAAAACGTTTTGACGGGAGATAATATTAGTGCCTCTGACGTATTCACTAAGTGATCGTTGCATACTGAGATTTCGAGAGGAATCGCAGGATTTCTCTAATATCTATCAATAATCCATGAGACTGTAGCCTTGAGGTACCGTTTCTATCTATGACTTCCGCATGAATGCATCACTGTGAAGGGAAGGCATCGGAGGTGTTTTTCGATTAGTGTGAAACTCATGTTCTCTTCACAGAATAGACTGCTGAATAGCGGTGAACTAGAAAGAGATAGAGAATAGTGATCTGAGCGCCCATGTGCGTCCCCAGTCAGAGTGAAGCAAACTAATTAGGGTGAAAGGACAGTGTATTGATGAAAATAAGGTTTGAAGAGGAAACGAGACACTTTTCTTTCACATATTGCAAGAATTACTTCCATTTTTTGTTAAGAGTGCCAGTATTGATCAAAACATCACAGTGTATGTACTGGAGTTCGAAGTAAAGTATTAGGCGATCTTCACGGATTAGATGTATTTTCCGCGATCTTGAACAGCAGAAGTTATTGATGAAAACCTTGGTCTGTCCACTGTGGCTGCGTAATTTGCTTAAACTAACTGACTGGCCACTCTTCAGAGTCATTCACATGGATCACAATTGTTAGACTTCTACACTGGTAGATTTAGTTCAATTGGTAGCTAGACTGCCTGTCTGCCTATCAGCGGCTAGTTTGTTTCCTGGCAAGACAAATCTATTTGTGCGACAGTTTGTTCTGTGTGTCTACGAGTTTCAGCAAATGAGTCATGTTCGCAGCTTGAGAAAGACAACAACAACTTATGTTGGAAACGGATGGACCAATAGGTTGACCCTTAAAACGATAGAACAGAATACCTGCCAAAGCATTAATTGGCATTCATCGCCTGTATAAATTATTCATGATTAACGACTTTATCTCCAATATACATAAGATGGAAAAACCACTGAGCTTACAGTAGAGTTTGGTGAAGCTGAAGAAGGCCACGAATTCAGATATTACAGCTGCCTAACATATATAAATTCAGTTGGATCTATGGAACAGTAATATGTACAGTCCAGTCAATTAATGCGTCGCCGAATAAAATAAATACAAGGTCAGTTTTATGAGTTCATGAACGAAATCGAAATTCATGTCATTTGGAAGGAAGCGACGTCATGTTTTGGCACAACTTGTAATACACGCATTGGTAGCACAGCGATTAGGACGCTCGCCGACCATACACAGGGTCCGGGTTGGATCCCCAGCCGACACCCACATGATATCAATGATCGGCCTGCTAAATTTGGGGTATGGATATCACATGCTGAAAATGCCATACTTGTACCGAAATATTGTGTGGAATCAACCTATAATAAAAATTAAATTGAAAAACATTGCTGTTCTTATTGGCTTTTTCGAAGAGACAGTTGCTTGCGTTGGTATTCCGCTGAAGTCAGAATGTGTGCATCTTATGATTCTTTCATTACTCGAGAATATTGTTGCATAAACTCACCTAATTTTTAGTCCTCAAGATGTCTGTCATTGAATATCACTACTAAGCTGAATGTATGTCCTATAGACTTTCACTTAACTCATGAATAGCACGTCACGTCATATTCCTCCGCATAACAGAGGAGTGACCGCAAACGACTAAGTAGTATAGATGAACGTTAAAGCTCTTGAATTCGTTAGGCTTAGGAGTTAAGGTCTCCTTAAAAATAGGATCAAGTTGAAATATTACCATCCAAGCGACCTGTAGATCAATACAATTCATGAGTCAGGGGATGGATTTCATGTCGGAGAAAGCAAATGATACAATGTTGCCGAGATACATGAGAGATGACGTGAAAGGAACACAAAGAAACACTATATAAAGGAAGGCCAGAAGTAGCACAACATGGAAGAAAACTCTACAAATGGTGCGTTGAAGATAAGGTGTACATAATTTGGCGATATATAGATACCAAATTCCAAAGAAACATTCCTTTACCAAGCGTTTCGTCTTCTACGGTTACCGTGTATGGTGTACTGAAAAAAAATCTTCTGATAGCCTAATGGATAACGTTCCAGTGTTTTTGGAAGCATAGGTTCTGAGTTCTATTTTCAATGGGAACACGATCAGACAATAGAGAGATAAAGACAAGTCCTAAAAAGAGGACGAAAGGAACGCCCTCGATTCTACTGTTAGTCATAGCCAAACTAGCATCCACTGACAAACTGCGAATCAAAGAGCCAACGGCTGAAAACTCCACCCCCCAAATACTAGGTTTTTCGTTTTCACATTTACTCATTACTTTTGTTTTCTCCACATCAGCCGACTAAACTGTCTTGTTATATTGTGGTTTTAATGCTTTTCTGACCAAGTTATTGACAATTATGAACAGACAAAAGACAAGTAGTTCAGCGAAGAGTCTCTTTTCGGCGAATTCATTTTCATAGCTGTACAATCGCAAATATATATGGTTATTTTGTGTGTGTGTGTGTGTGTATGTATGTATACATTAAATTTGTCAAACGAAAATACAGTTAGTAAGTTCAGATGAATTGGATGTTGATAAGAGGATAGTAACAAAAGTGATGAGTTGTCATAAATGATTGTTAAATAAGAGTTACGTAATGGCATGAATAGTTTGATGAATGAGTTGTGCTCAGGGGTGTACATGGAAACAAAATAATACACAGAATTACACAAGGGTTTTAAGTTAGAAAAATAAGCATACAAACAGAAGTAAGGTCAAATCAACGGAGTTGTTATCATGCGAGTAGAAGTGGTTGGATAATTTCCTTTTGTATGCATAGTTCTGGTTCCACCAACTGAATGGCTAGGGCTTCTGCGATGCAAAGAAGACGGAATCGTACTGTCTTTGGAAGGTTG